GGAATAATATGAAAGAATAGATAGATATTTCAAAATATAGAATATAAAATTATGGGTAATATGATCTCATAGAAAAGTAGCTGTAAAATCATTATTATCATGAATATATTATTTTATTGTGTACGCTCAAAGTATTATTATATATTTATAAGAACTTATAGAAATAAAAACAATTATTAATTAACAAAAAAAATACTACACGAATGTTGTATATAACAAATATTATAAGGAATAAATTATACATATATATATAAACAATTGTACGTACAGAATTATAATAAAAATAAATTTATGGTTCAATAAATCAAATAATAATGTATTTTCAAATAATAAATAATGATGTATGTATACAAGAACAAAATTTTATATGATATTAAGGCATATATATGTAATAAAAATAATATAATATATGTTATCATTTACATACAATGTCAATATTTTATTTAATGCAACTAAATGAAAACTATAATATTAATACAGTTCAATTAAACATTATAATATAATTCACAATTAATTAAATTAGAATACTCAAAAAAAGAATATATAAAGAGAAACTATAAAATAGAAACAATAAAAATGTCACGTATTTCTACAAGTTAAACTAAAACACTAAAGCATAAATATAATCTATGATACCTAACCCCCTAAACCTAAACCCTAATCCTATAACAATTTAATATTTAATTATTATTATAACATATATATTCTTATATAATTTTATATTTCTCTCCAAATACAATGTTTCCAAATTTTAATATAATATAATAAAATACATAATCTGTATGAATTAAGAATGATTAAATTTTTTTTATTATTCTAAAGAATTATAGAGTATATTATACTTATGAGTTAATTTTGTGTTCTCTGTTTCAAATAAATTACTTAATTTGCTTACTCCATCTTGATTTCTCCACAAAATCTGTAACCTCAATACAAATGGTTGTAAGTAGATACTATATTTTGTATACTGAAAAAAAAGAAATTAACATATATTTTTATCAATATTTCATTTATTTGAATTATAAATTTCCTAATAATATGTATAATAGATTGTAACATATTATAAGTTCCATAAAATTAATTTATTATTAACCTTATATAATATAAATGTAGTTATTGATATAAGAATAATTACAAGGAATGAAGCTAAAAAGGCCTTGCGTGCATATCCCCCATAATGTGAATGTAGGATTTTAGGAACGCTTTCGCATCCAGTCCTTGTCTTCATTTCTGAGTTATATTTATCTTTAAAATTTTCCAAAACATCCTTAAAACTGTTGTTATTGCCATTTTGACTTATTAACAAAAGATCTCTATAAATTTCATAGCATTCAATACCATAGTTACAATCATTATCATAAGTTAAAAATAAACATTGATCATATAAATGTATTAATTTTTCCATAATGTAATATGTACTATCACTAATATCAACAACATGGTCCTTGCATATGTCGAATAGAACCATATGATCATTTTTTGCCTTATTTTTCATTATTTCATAACAGTTTTTTTCTCCCCCACAAGTTGCTCCTTTTCTTTTTAGGAAATCTTTTAGCTTGTAGCTGAAATATATACATGATGCTTTTTGATTATTACGTGTATTGGTTTTTATGTGGTCTAAATAGAGGCTAAGATTTTGGCAATCAACAATAAATGTCCCTTGTGAATTTACTATTTTTTTATCTATTTCTGTGCAAGAATCATAATAGGATTTTTTTTTTTCTTGAAGCTTCTCAAAAGGTTTATCCAAATCTTCCTCATTAATACCCTGTGTAGCACTATAATAATCATTCATACATGTGGGAAATATATCCTTAAAATCAAACTATAAAATAAGGTTATTATGTAAGAAAAAAATCAAATCAATAAGATAATGTTAAAATTATGTGTATCATGTTTATATATCATCGTATTTTAAAGGTAGTAGATATAAACAATAGATATAATGACAAAAAAAAACGTACATCCTTGTCTACAGATATAGTATTACCCATATTATTAAATGATAGTTAATATAATGCAAAAATTTTTATTTTTTAATAATTTATAAACAATTATCTGATAAACGTATCCCAAAGAAAGCTATATAGAAATAATATAATTTAATTATTGTAATTCTTAAATTTTCACAATTTCTTGTAAAAACAGTTCATATTAAGAATTTACATATATTAAAGTATGGAACTGTTATGAAATGGATAATGTAATTTTACATATAAATAATATGAAAAAAATTTCTAAATGTTTTATATAACAATATTAAAGCATAATCATTACTTATGAATTAATGTTATATATATATAATATATACAAAATATTAGTTATCCGCCATAATTATTTATTTAAAATATGTTCGTTTATATATATTTCAACAATTTCTCCTAATTTTTTTAATATACATTTTTTATATGCTTTTAATTGTTGGAATTAATACATATATTTATAAAATACAAATTATTATTATTATAATAATTATATACTTTGATATGAGTAGGTATTTGGTATTCTGTAATATTATATTAAGACATGTTATTTAATATGAAAAAAAATGATTATTCATTCCACAAGACATAAAGAAATTAAAACTTCCATGTTGTTCTTTATAATATAAGTTATGCATTCAACATTTCAAGGATTATCTGTAATTACACATTTAAAATATTTAAAAATATACTTTTAATTTTATATATATTGTTTCAGAAGATTCTAAAATATATGTAACTCTTATAATGTCATAGATATATATATAAAAAATTAAAACGTATTATGATATTGTATTACATGAGAATGTACATTCTTATAAGTTTTGTGGAAGAAAATTCCATCAAATATCTATGTAAAAATTTTGAATAAATTAATGCATTATTATAGTGCAAATTAATTAATTACTGCAAAATAATTTTTTTAATTAAATTATAGAATTATATCACAATAATAAATAAATAAACTATCTTTTCTTTCAATGAAAATATTAATAAAATTTATATTGAACACAAAAATACATAGAGGAAAAAAAATGTTTTCTCTATTATATAATTTCTTCAAGTACACATACGACATTCTGAAATGGTGTCTTACAATAACTATATATTTATATGAAGCCTTATATATTAATAGCATTGATTAAAAAGTGCTAAATGATTCGTTAAAAAGAATGTGGAGTTTAAAAGGGCATATAATTATTTTGACATTATTTTTGATTAGTTGTATTTACATATAAAGATTATGATGTATTGTTTGTAATTAACAACTATTATATAAATAAAAATAAATGTAAGGGTTATTCAAATATGTATATCTAAGTATATTTAGTTTAATATATATATAATAACAATATACGAAATCATATTTGATTATAAAAAAATATATGTAAATAAAAAGGCTTTAAAGAATATTACGATAATATATATAAGACAATAATAATTATTAAATAAGGAATTAAATATTAATAGCTTCAAATATTATATTGAAATATGAAAGAATCATTTACATAATTCATTAAATTGATAATAATTTTAATATAAAATAACTTATAATGAAATCGTTACAGAAATATAAATCCAAAAAAAATTATAATTAAATTATAAAACAACATATCTATAGATAAAATGAAATGTTTAAACATATAACTCTTAAACTCCAAGCCTCAAACCTAATGTATGAAATTTAAAAAATAAATGATTAACTATAAACCATATATGTAAAGCCTGAACATTGATAAATGATAATATAATGTGTTCATATTTAATAATGTGATAATTTGTTACTTCATTATGAGATCATCTATATCTAATAATCATAATTATAATAAAATTTTGAAAATTCTACTATATTCTTCACTATTATTATAAATATGGTGAGAAATGACTTAAATATTGCATGAACTCTTAAAACTAAATTTATTTATAAAATAAATATTATAAGACATATAACATGAAAATATCACTTAAAAAAATTTAATTATTTTTTATCATTAAGATATATGTATCATAAAAAAATCAGGAATTGTTAATGTATCTTATTAAAATTACTCTTTATTTTTATATTAAATATTAAAAAAATATTTATTATAATGTATTACATTCTCATTGATGAACTTAATATTATAATGTATAATAATATATTATTGTTTAACGCACTTAATTTTTATATGCATATATAACACAAATTCAATTTTATAACGATAAATTCAAGTGAAATGTTAAATAAATAATATAATAAAATATGTATTATCACGAATAACAAAATAAAAAAATACTTTCTTCAAATAGATATCTTAGCTATTTTATTATTTCTAAGATACAACAGGTTGCTGTTCCCTTTAAAAGAGTGTATTCTTTTATAATATTAAAGAATATAATTTTAATTGAAATAATAAAAAATGGAAAAAAATATATTAATAAGAAAAAAAATTCCATGTATAAAATATTGTGTAATTTATATCTTATGCTATAATTATTTTACTCAAAATATATGGTATTTCCAATTTTGGCAAAGAATATATTATAAAAATGATCATTGAATGACCATAATATACAATTCGTAATGATAATTTATGTATTATATTTGTGCATAGATATAGGCTTATCGTAGGTCATCAGGTATATTCCTCGTTTATTCAATGATTCAATATTTAATATATATATGTGTTGTATAAAATGAAAATAGATTTATAATTATAAAGTTCAGTATTTCATAAATCAAGCTTAAAAAGTATATATATATTTATTATATGCTCTATGTTAATGTTATATTAAAATCATATAAATTGCTCAAAATTTTTAATAAGCATGGTTTAGGTTTCAGGTTTCTTGTTTTAGTTTTAGGGTTTTGGTGTTTAGTTTTTAGGTTAAGTGTTCTGGAATAATTTGATTGTTTGATAAATTTTTATATATTTAGCTATATGATTATTGCAATTATATCACTTTTAATTTTTCGCAGTGATAAATTAAAATTTAAATAATATACACATCATTTTTTATTTTCAGATATTTATTGCGTTATAATTTCATTCATATGGAAGTTAGTATGCATTATATTAGTGTTTTGATAATATGTAAAATGGGTTGAAAAAGAATAAAACTTATAGGAAATATTATATCCAATTTAGTAAATGTGACAATTTATAATTAAATTTAATGAAACAAAAGAAAAAATAGAAATTTTTTTATGTTAAAATGTATACTTGTTGGAATAAATTTTCTTTCTCTCTTTTTCATATTTTTTGATAGTATAATTTCAGAATTCTTATTAATTTATATTGAATATACTTATTTTATGAATTAAGATGGATTGTAATTAATAACTATATAATGAAGTATTCTTTTTTAGTTAGTTAGTAATATATTTTTTTGTTATTATATTATATATTGAAGAAATATATATATAGATTTTTAGATACATTCACTTGTGTGTATTAACCATAAAAATCATGTGTTTGTCGATTAATAATAAATTTACTAAACTGAAAAATGTATGACATATATACTTATTATAGAGATGTGAAGAATATATTATATATTTATTTCGCTGATTATTTAAGATGTATTAAATCATGAGAGTTTTTAATATTATATATATTTTTAAAAAATATTATAAGAGCAATTTCTTCAATAAATTATTTTCAAGATTTACATAAACAAATTTTAATTATTATTGAATATATTTTTACACTAACCAGCGAAACGTATACTGCCTATCGTACATAATATACATTAATAATCAAATTAATATGAATAATAAACGTCTATATCTGATATCTTTTCCTTTATATGAAAAAGCTTCATGAGTTCAAATGAACAATTGGATATATAGAAAATGTGTAAATTGCGTAAAAATAATAAAAAAAACACTCTAATTATTACATCTATGTAAAAGCATAGGAAATTGTAAAATATATGCAGAGCACATAAAAGAATAAATGGAATATGAAGAAAAGCAGAACTGATAAATAACATGAATAATCCACATATCTTGAGTAATTTTTTACGTGAAAATTACAAGAAAAGAACTTAATTTTAGAAAAAGTCTTTCTGGATAGACATTTACATGTCTATTTCAAAATTTCACAAATATGTTACTGAATGATTGTGTAAACCTAATTATGATTGAATCAAAATTAAGAATAAAGAAATTATAAAATTAAATTATATATTTTGAGATTTAAAAAATTAAATATGTGGAAAAAAATTAAGAATAACGAAATTTTAAAATTAAATTATGCACTCTGTGATTTAAAGAATTAAATGCATGGAAAAAAATTAAAATCACAATTGTTACAATCACTTTTAAATGAAGGATGATAATCACATAATATTGATAAAAGTAATAATATAGAATAAACAAATTTAAATGTATAAATATAATGAAATGAAAAATAATTCAAATTATTTCATTTTTGTTTACTCTAATAAACAATAATGAATTGGATAATGTTTATAATCTTTTTTTTTTTTTTTCGTGTTTAAGATAATAACTCCTTAAGAATGATAGCATCCACTAATTACAAAAGTATGCAATCTTCATTTAGATTAAAAGCATTAAATTAAAATTAAAAATTTGTTTTCTATATAATATGATTTTTGAACAATAATTGAAATATATGAAAGCACGCAAGTTACTAATTTATGAAAAAAATATTAAAATGTAGTCAAATTATAATTAGCCCTAACTACCCTAGATCAATAGGAGATTTCTTATAAGATCGTATAGTGGAAAAGATTTTTTCGCCTTTTTTAAAATTTTCTCCACATTAAAAAGGATGTTATGGATCATTGTAACATTTTTTTATTTAGAAAAATTTTATATTTTGAATTACTTATTTACACATAGATTAGTATGTTGTACATTAAAGAAAATTAAAATAAAAAAAATTTTCTTTTTTTGAGGTGTAAATTAATAAAACACTTAAATTATTATATTATGTGCTTTAAGTTCCTCCTTTTTGCACACAAAATTTCTTGTAGCTTATTAAAATTGAAACATAATTTTAATC